GAAGGCAGAAGAGAGAACTTAGCTGAAATTCTCCACTGAAGCTGATGGCAAATTTTACTGTTTTCAATTATGCCAGGCTTTTATCCTTTAGAGAGGTTAGCACAGCCCTCTTACACTTGCCACAGGTGGAATCCTGTTACCCCACAAGGAGGAGTTTTAATTACCTTTGTCAAATAATCATTATGGTCATAGCAAGACAGTTTTGATTAGGTCAGCCTACCCACAAACTGTCAGATACTTCTGTTGAGGAGCACATTGGATAAATTACATTATTACACTCTCACAAAAACGGACAAGAAATGGCCCTAATCTCAAATTATTTATTAACATATCTGAATATCTGGTTATTTAAAGACTTGGTTATTTAGATATTTTTTTTCTTTCCCCAAAAAAGGGACAACTATACACTTCAGATTAATCCTAATTCAGGTCTGTGTAATGAAGATCATCTGTCGTATTTCACGTTTATTGGTCGGGTTGCTGGTCTGGCAGTGTATCATGGGAAGCTATTGGATGGTGAGTTATTACACTGTATGGCTATGCTACTGTTACTGGATTTTTATTAAATGAAATAAATCACTTCAATAATTCATATGCTTTAGAGTGTAGTATTTCTGGAGACAACGTCAGAGAGAAAATAATGGAACTGGAACTGTTGGAAATTGCATTCCTGATGTGAATGGTGATTGAAAAATTATAGTGTCTTACTCAACAAATACATTTCATATAAAGTTTTGCTCCTTTCTCCACTCATGTTAAAACTACAGAATCAGCATTGCTAAATAATCACTATCCCTAAAGGAAAACCACTAAATTTATATCAGCCACTCCCACGCAATCCTGCAGCCAAAGCAGTTGTGTGGGTGTCAATTGCAGCATATTTTGATCTGTAAGATTATTACTGAATGATTTAATGAGAAAATGTGATTTCTGCCAAACTTTGAAATCCCAGAATAAGCAAGCAAGCAAACATAAACTGACTTATTTTATTTAGCAATAGTGCAGCACATTAGAAGAGGAAGCTCACCATCCTGTTTTTGTAGCATCTCCTTTGAGAGAAGAATGGCAATTTTAAATGGATTAGAGTACTTTGAGCTCAATTCCCCATCTTTTGTGTCTCTCTACCATTAATGTTATGGTGTTTAAAGGCATATGGTAATTAATGGCATAATTCTTGTAATTGAAAAATTTGGCTTTCTGTCCCTAAATAAAAAATGAGCCTGCTGTGTTAACGTGAGCAGTTACAGTGCTGTTACTTTCAGGAGGTTTCTTTCTTGCTGGCACACTAGGAAATATCATGGTGTATTATCCTTGAGCAATCATATCTTTATGTAAGGTGAAAATGCAGAACAGCGGAGGTAACACTCTTCCCTCTCTTCTAGGCTTCTTCATCAGACCTTTTTACAAGATGATGCTGGGGAAACCAATAACTCTGAAAGACATGGAGTCAGTGGTAAGATAACATTTAAGCCATATCAGCATTAGCAATTACGTGTTTTTTTCCTCTGGGGAAATTTGTAAGAGCTAACAATTTCAGTAAACTGCATGGTGGAAAACACAAGGTCATAGCTGAAACAACTTTAGAAAGATATGTACGTACTTTTTTAATAAAACAAATCTTCCCTGCTAGGACAGCTGTTTCACTACCAGTGCACTAACAGTGGTGAGAGGGACAAGGGAAAAGAGACATGAATTGGCCAGTAAGAAACGCAACATAAGATGTCTAATTATACTTTCAGATTTTCCACTGGGTCAGCTTTCTCCCTGTTACAGGGAGCACCACCACCAAGTCCAACAGCTTTCTTGTCATGCTGTGGAGCAGGAAGAGGGGGATGCAAGGGCTTGGTTCTGACCTGGAAACATGGGAAGTTGCCCACAGTGCCGGAAGGAGAAAGGGTTGCCAAATGATAAACGGTTCTCTCCAAAATATACTTAATGAATGCAGCACAACTTGTGCCCTTTTATCCGTTTTAGTTTTGTTCCCTGCAATACTTTCACACCTTCAACATTAATTGCAGTCAAGTACTTTTGTGTTTGGCACTCCCTGGGAGAGAAACGAATTGTTTTACAAGTTAGTATCTCTAACTTTGTATTGTAAAAAGAAGGACAACAGTAAATAGGATCCTGCAGATGCCCCATCTAGATGTGTAGTGTAACAGTATTGAAACACAGTACATTTCAGATATGTACAATAGCTAAATACAAATGGTTACCATTCCATTAGCAGGATGATACTTGTTTTTGTCTTTTTAACCTTTTGAGGGCTGTCTGGTTTTGACACTGCTGAGGACTTTGGAGAACCTTGGAGCTGTTACTTTTCCCCTTTCTAACATCTTCCTCTGTTACCCATTATACAGAATAGTTTATCTGGGTAAGACTGCTCCAGATTGCCTCTGTAGGGGCAGGACTTGGTTGAGAGCCTGGCCACTCACATCCTGCACTTTCCTAAGACTGTCTTCAACAGCAAAGTCAGTTGACTCCAAGCCCAGCACAGAGGCAAAATTACAGAAGATGAGATGGCTTGAGCTCAAGTACAAGCTTAAAACCAAGCTCATGAGATGCATATCAAGAAGGATCTTAAAAGGAAGTTGAGGCTCTTGTGTTCCTATAAGTAGTTGGGAAACCTTTTCCTCTTATTTTTAATACTGCAATAGCTGTCCTTGGTCTTGTCAAAAGTATACTCGATACGAGAATAAAACACAGTTTATTCTTTTTGATGTTTAAGAGTTTTACAGACTTTCAGTTACTGACATAAACGCTGGTTCAACTGCTTACTCTCTCCTCCAGCTCCCACTATTTCATAGTCATCAAATTTTGGCAGGTCATTCTTCTCTTGAGGCATACATGAGTAAATAATATTGTAACTTTATTTTGAAATTAATTTTTGTGGCTCTCTTGCTTGGAAATATTTAGTGATAGATACACATACTTTTTTTTTTTTCTCTCTTTTTTTCTTGGGTCAATCTTTAATTATGAACCTAATACATGATGAAGATTCAATCCTTTTAGGACATTAGAGGGGTCTTTTATTCAGCAAACTTTGAGGCTTTTAATAAAAACGCAATCAGTTATTGCATAATATATTATCAGTGTAATAAAGTGGTATATGAAATGTGTTGAAAAGAATGTACAGTTTTATCAAGAAGACATTTTCTAACCAATTATTTCACACTGCTATATACATATTTACCAAATAGATACGTAGAGTCAATTTATTGTATGGTATAATAATGCAATTACGAGTCAATTAAGAAAAGTTACGTGAATCTAAAAATATAGCATCTAAGAAAAATACATATGAATAAACTAATCCATCTTACTCTGCTTTACAGTAGCTGTGCAAATAAAAGAGTTCTCATCTTTCCAGTCCCTTTGGAATTCTAGTTTTAGATGTTTTTATTTGTTCAACTTAAAGTTAAACTATACTTTTAATGTTCACATTTTCAAATTTTGTTTAATTACAATCTGCTGTAGGATAGCGAATACTACAACTCTTTGAAGTGGATCCTGGAAAATGACCCTACAGAGTTGGATCTCATGTTTTGCATAGATGAGGAAAACTTTGGACAGGTGTGTAAACGTTATCCATTTTTCTATCTTATTATTGGTTATTGCCAAGAAGTAATTAAATACTGAGCAGTATCTCATGGTTGTGAACTTGATCAGGACTGTTGAATGTTAATGATCAGTACAGGCAGACTATGAATTTTAACCTGTCTTTCTTCCTGAACTGTCTAAGACTGGGGATGCCAAAGAGGGAAATGGTGTTCTTGTCAGTGAGCCATATGACATCTTTGTGAAAAGCAGTACTGGAAGCTGAGTAAAATACTTGCAATAAGGAGTAATAAAGGTGTTTCACAGTCCATCTTAGCAAACAGTCTTAGCTTGGGACTGTTTGGGGTTTTATAGGTTGAAGATGTTCTCAAAGGACAAAGTAAGTGGTAGAATTATAATTAGTGAAGTGCTTTGTTTATAGTGTCTTTTATATAATTCAGGCAGACGATACAACAAAAGCAAGCATGCCTATTTTAGCAAGGTCCACAATCTGTGGATAACTTTCTCCATTACAAATGAAAAATGTTAAATACATGTTTAACAATTGAGAAGTCAGTAGGTGAGAATATAATTCATCAGCCAAAGTCATAACTCATTTTATCAGTAGAAGCTGTAAAAACAGCTTATGGTACAGTTTGTCTTGGATTTACAGTGGGTCTTTACAGAGAATCTTACTAAAACAAACTTCAGAGATCTGTATCAGTTTCTGGATGGAAATAACGTGGGTGCAGATAAATGTCTTGTACATAAGTATATGTGTTAAATGTAATTTGAGGACTTAAAGGCAAATAAATCATGAGTTTACTTACATAAGCTTGGAACTTGCCTACCATGATTAGGGTTTTTTTATTTATTTACAAGCTACGGAGCGGAACCATTTTGTATAGCATGCACACAAGTAATGACTAAAACATACTGATTTTTTACAATATTGGGACATAATAATACCTACCTATGTCTCTTAAATTAATTTGTTTATAGGCTTTTATGTCTTTTTTTTAGTGTCTTCACTTCGTTTAACTCTTAGACCTAGATATCTTGGATTCCAGGTTCCAGGTACCACTGGTATTGCGGACCACAGTGCCTTTTTTAAAAGCTGACTTCAAGATTTCAAAACATATGCACACAATGTACTGTCAAGAACATTCTGATCCACTTCTCGGTGCTTATTACTTTTTTCCCTGAAGTAACATAAGTTTATCAGTTACATGGAAAATTAGGGAGAACATTAAAGCCACAGGATGAAAAGTTTTTTGTAATAGACTGGGTTGTTTGTTGGTAATTTTCATTATCTTCTGTTCTGTAACAATTTAGCTTCAAATTATTGATAGCCTTTCACTGCCAGCTTTCACTTCTGCTGGCAAAAGTTTGTTCTCTGACTCAAAGCATAAATCAACTTATGTGGAGATCTTTTTTGCTCTTCTCCTAACTCCTTAATACCTCAAATAGCTAATTCTGGCATTGTCAGCAAGATTGGTTTTTAGTTAATTTAGAATAGATGCATCTCATTCCAGAAGAGATTAATCTTTTAGATGCCATTCTTCAGCAGGTCAGCACTGTATAGGCAAGAAGCAGATCACTGTTAAAGTGTGACACATAATTTAAAAAAAGTTGCAGACTGTCCAGGAGTGTTTATGCTCTCGGGAAAACTTTACAAACTGGTATTAAAAATAGCTGCAGCTTGAGGCTCACTGGTTCATTTCTTAGTTTTCCTTGTTATTAAATCTCTCCCTGTGTTGTTTCTGTATATCATGGGTGCAAAGTCATTAATGGCATTTATGATTTCTTTTGAACATAACATTTTACCACGTTCTTACAGTATGTGTGGGGGTTTTTGGGAAGTTCCCATGATATAATTGTAAGAGTACGAGGCAGGCTTTGTCCTCGTTAGAGAAATACATTGGGGAGTGGGGTGGAATAAAGGCATCAAAAACATCTGTCTTGCTGTTACTGAAATTTCTATTCACCTTCTTCCCCCAGAGTTTTTCTTCATAATATGGCAGGTATTTATAGGTTTTGGAGATTCACGTCTTTGTTGATGTAGAAATCCACAGGATGCTGCTGCAACCGTGCAGGTGTTAGTTCTGTACCGTGGTTATGCCTTAGCTCAAGTTGGAGGGACCCGTAAAGAGTAACCGACTTCACGTGCTCATTTAGTGCCCAGTTTATTAACAGAAATAACAATTCTTGTTCTAATTATTGTAATGTAAATTCTAGGTGTTGAGCTGATTATCCTAGTCTTCCTGTATCTCAGAGGGAGAGGGCAATTTTGGCTAGCTCTACAGCAGTAGTGATGAAGTTCTTTTGGCTAACTTCTGTTTCAGCTTACATATAAGCTCACCGAGTTACAGACAAGCGCCAATAGTAGTAGATATAATAATATTGTTTCCATTATACTGCTGGTGAGATGCAAAATTGGCAGGACAAATTTTATCGAAGAAAAGCCTGAATAAGCTCAGTAGTACAAGGACAGGATATGCTATAGTGAGGAGGAATTTATCTAGCTAGAGATTGAAACATCTCATCAGTCCAAATGCGTATAGGATGCTTTCCAGCAATGCAGAAGTTACGGCAAATATTGACTACATTGGCTTTTTCTGCATGTACCACTGGCCGTTGCCAGCGCTGTGGGGACTACTAGAAGTCAAGGGACCCTGACTCACTTTGGCACTTGTTTTGCCTCATCTACTGCTAAACTGCTGAAACTTTATGAAAGTGTCCTTGGGAACCTGAGTAGGAGATGATACTGCTTCCACAAGGACATTGTGTATGTAAGAGGGAGAGGTTTGCATTGCTATAAGCTTCTATATTTATTTATACTTCATTTATCACCAAAACCTTTTCTGGAGTTAGAGAAAAACAAGAAACCTCTAAATCTTATCTTACTACTCTTCCATACTGAATAACCAAAAATATGGTTTTGGTAGTTCTCACAAGTCAGTAAGAAATACAAAGTAGATATTTTCAACATGTAGAGGATGGAGAGCTGTCTTCAAAAAGCAGAGAAAGAAAAGGTCTGTATTTCTCCTAAGTTCTTAATGGCTCTGGAATACCATTTCTCATTTCTTAAAGACAACGTATCTTCTGGTGGGCAGGAAGGAACAAGCGCCAGGAAGCCTTCTGTTCGTGCCACCACGTCTGTGATCTTCATCACTTTATCCTGTTTAACCTTGACAGTATAGCAAACCTTTTCCTTTTTAGTTCTGGACTATCTTCCCTGGTCTTTACGGAATGAATAAACTACTGTTTCAGAGGTGTGTAGGTTCCCTATTAATTACTTTTCCTTAGTGGCATAGTCATCTTTTTTTTCCTATGCAGTAATAGGTATATTTATTCAAATAGTTCTATTGTACTGTTTTTCTCCTTCTTGAAGCAGTCAGTATTAATCCAGTCCTGAAAAGAGCTTTCAAGCCTCCTCCTTTCACAGCTCCATTTATTAGCTAATGAATTTACTGTCTTACTGTTACTCAAGCACAACATCTGATTTAATTATTAAAGATTAGTAACAGCTTTAAAAATAGGCTTGGTTGAATGAGGGTGCACAGAGTCACATCTTGGTCGCTTCCAGTGAAACCATGGTTTTGAAGTGATGGAACAAGTTGACTGGAAGAGAGTGACGACTTCCAAGCAACAAAATGCTTGACTTCTCTCCTACCCAAGCGCGCATGCTTTACAAGAAATTAATCCAGTCTTGTGCCTATGCTGTATGTAAACACCAGGATCTGCAGTCAGAAAAATGCTGCTTCATAGCTGCAGCTATGGAGTGTACGGTTTGGTAACAATGTTGTGTGGGCACTAACTGATAAAAGCTACCAACTTCTAGCTTTCCTGGTGCCTACCCAGCATTAATTCTGTGAATTCTTACTGATAAATCACTTTCTGAAGAAATAAATACGTTATTTGGACTTGCTGTAGTTTCTTGTGAACTGTAATGAATTTGGTTTTTTCTATCTTATACTCCACGATGACACCATCCTTAGCAAATTTGTCCTTAACCATTTCTGTAATCTCTGTAATCTGTTTTTCTGCTTCACTTTTTTGGCCTTTTTGTGAAATCGTTTCTCTGTGGATTTTAAGTGATCATTTTTTTTCAAGCATTTTGAAAAACAAGAAGGCATTTTTCTACCCTTATTACAGTGGAATGTCTGTTTTCTTTATCCAAGTGAACCTGCTGCTCAGGACTAGAAGTTTGTTTTTGAATGGTTTGCTCACTTGCTAATGACAAGAATTCATTCTTACAAGTGATCATATAATAATTTGTTCCTAATGATGCCATCTTTAAATGTGGAATGTTTTGATGTCTCATTAGCTATTATGGCATGATAATTTTCTGATACTGCTTGTAAAATGCTGCAAGCAGAGTCAATTTTGTGAGAAATGTGTTCTGAAATAATGTCATGTTGTATTTTCTTTTTTTTCTTTTGAAATACAGACATATCAAGTCGACCTGAAGCCAAACGGGTCAGAAATCATGGTAACAAATGAAAACAAAAGGGAATATATTGAGTATGTATATATTTCTGGAATTTGTCTTGGGTGTAAGAAAGCACAGTTGCACTTGTCTTAGAATTTACCCTACTGCAATTACTGTAGTTTGCACTACGATAGATCACCAGAGGTCCTTTTAAAAGAAAATCTTACCATTAACATAGTTTGTTTATACCCTAATCCTTAGAAAGTTTGAATTTTAACCTTTACTCTTCTATGAATTACACTAATCAGGGGAGTCTGTGACATAATAGGAAACTATTTTCTTGACGGGTAGGCATGAGGAACATTCAAGAAGGGATGGGATTGCTCTGAACGACAGACATCTGCAGCTAAATTACTCGATGAAAAGAAATGGCACCTCTTGGATGCGATACTTGTCATGTTAAAGTAGACATATGAATTTTGCCCAGATTCATGCCTGCTTCTGTCTCTTGCCTAAGCGCCTAGGGTAACTAGCTCTGCTTTGGAGATCTCCAAAGTAGTGATGAATTTCTACCCTAGGATTTACAGTTTTTCTTGATGAACTGCTGGGTCGCAGAATACAAATCAAGAATGAGTGCAGATCTGAATGCTAAACTAGATCTAGAAAAAAGAATGAAAATAGGATGTCTGTATAATTTATCAAGTTCGTATTTGCTTGCCATTGTGGTCTTCATTCAAGGAAGAACTCAGGAACTCTGTAAATGTTTAAGCATTCCTCTAAAAGGAGAACTTTGTACTTGTTTGTTAATCTCATTTGCAATCTTATGTTACAGTGATTTGGCTGTAATGGTGGAACAATAAGAAATTTCTGCTTTTATGATTTTTTTTTTTATTACTTTGTGTGTAATATATTTGTACTGTCAGCTCTTTAATTTTTCAGGTATGTCTGGGTTTTTTTCAGTTTTCAGATGCAAAATATTAGACATCATAAACTTTTTTAATCTCCATCATCTCAATACAGTGCAGAAACGAATAGCTCTTTGAAAATGTGAGGGCCAAAATTCAGAACTGAGTTAGGTTTACATCTAGATAATTCTTTCATGGCTAGTCACAGTATTTTTACAACTTTAGAGTCAATACTTGTGTGATCTTATTTGTGTGCTTTCATTTGGAAACGATTAATGCAACTTAAAATTTTTCAAATATTTTTCCCCAGAATTCCATTATGATAGAGCTATTCTAGTTGTTATACTTTAAAGGAATTTTCTAGTAGCCGTCAAATGAACAGTAACCAATGCTGTAATGCCTTCTTTGAAAATTCAGTTAACGTAACATTGGCCAATACAAGAGCAAAAATAGAGTAAATTCAATTAACTGCTTGGTTTTCCTGAAATCCCCACATAGGAAACGTGCTTCTCCAAAGTGTGGCTCAAAGCACCTTAGTTAAAATGAGCCAGAAAGTGCTCTCCAGCGTGGCCGTCATCCCGTTACCCTTCTCTGCTAGTTACACAGACCAGATCCATGATGTCAGTACCAGTGTTGCTGTCAAAAATTGGCCAAATTTAAACAGGCTGTTTAGGTTTAAGTTTCCTCCGTTTCTCTGCCTACCAGAATGTAAAATAATAAATTCAACTATACTTGCTGGCATTTTTAATTAGTGCCTTTTCAAAGGGGAGAAAACATGATAATTGCTATATTCATGCAAATTAGGAATGAAACGTGCTTCGGTAGGAAAGGAATTGGATTTCTAAAGCATTACTCTAGAACCTGTGAGGTATTTATGCTGTAGGTAGCATTGAAATACAAGCCTTTTCCTTTGATATTGCAGTTTTTATTCATCTATTTATGTATTTATTTACAGGCAGGCTGTTAAATGTAATGACATCTATCCTCAAATTTTGTAGACTTTGTTGGGAATTGTTAATTACTCAGAGCTGTGGAAGAATAAAATGCCTAGTCATTTACTAACTGTAAATACATCACCCGGAGTCTAGATCACAGCCTCATTTAGAAAGAAATAAAGCATAGTAAAGAGTTTGTAGGCTGTTTCAGTCCACAGGCAAGCCTTTTTGCCGTGTTCATCCTTGAGTTAATCTCCATAGGAGCAAAACGGTTAATGTCATATCATCTGATAGTGCTACATTAAAAAATTCTTGGTGATGTAGAAAAGTCATAGCTATAAAATACGGATGTGTATGTATAGAGTTTGTGTTGCATGCTAAAGTGAAAATACTCATACTATAACTTGTTCACAGTCACTGATTTTTTTCAACATTTCGATCAGTCACACAAGATAAATTTGAACAACTAATAAAAAGCTGCTCAGTTCCTTTAACACCAGAGTGTGGTTGGGAGATGGCTGAAGCTGTAAATGAGAAACTGAAAGTATTAGGGTTGCTAAAATCTCTAGACACTTCGTTTGCAGTTTTCTAATGAGTGTGCTTATGTGGTTTTATTTATCTACTACAGCCTGGTCATCCAGTGGAGGTTTGTAAACAGAGTTCAAAAACAAATGAATGCTTTTTTGGAGGTAAGGTTCTTTAGCTGCTTATTTTTTCCCCAAAAATACTTTTTTTTTAATGCAGACTTCTTATACATCAGTGTCTGCATTAAGGGAGTGGGGAGCTTTGCATAACCGCACAAGTTCTGGAATGCTTGTTTTACCTTGTATAAGAATATATAATCTTTCCCTTATGAGAATAAGGTCATTCTCTTTCAAGCTTAAATTATTTGAGCTTGAAATAATTTAGTGATTAATTATTTTAAATTAGGGACTCATACTTCAGCAACTGAGTATTTCATTTTCTAAACCCTTTTTCATCCTCTGTTGTTAAGGTAGGTTCCCTGAAGCCAAAGATCCTGTTAGATAAAAACTTAATTTTTTCTGGTATGAAAATTTTAACTTTGCTTTGTTTTCTTTTAGGGATTCACAGAACTTCTCCCTATTGATCTGATTAAAATTTTTGATGAAAATGAACTAGAGGTGAGTCCAGAAACAACAGATCAGTAATGCTTATCACAAAAAGATGTGTTATGTTCTAGGCTCATCATTCATCACTTACTCATCGTAGGTGAATTTGCAGACAAAGATGCTTTGTTTATAATGGGAAATGAGATTTTTCTCCCTAATTAATAAATCTGTTGATCACATAAAAGCACAAAAAAATTGTAATTATTCAGTGAGGTGGTTGAGTATGTGCATATAAAAGCATGCAAGTGGCTTACTGAATTAATGCCATTATGCCTATACCAGTCATATTTTGAGCAAAATACCATAAAAGAGGCTGTCACATACATCATAGTGTACAGCGTTTCTCCAGTAAAATGAAATATTCTTTGAGAATTCTTCTGAAGAGAAGCTCAACTCTCCGTTACGTTTGCATTTATATTTGCACTGCCTCGCTCTTTAAAAGGTCAGACAACAGAGGGAAAGCGTAGCCTTGTTTTTCTGGTACAGTGTACAGGATAACACAATACCATCTTCAGTTAACACTGTAACTATTTACTTCCATATGTAGTTACTGATGTGTGGCCTTGGCGATGTTGATGTCAATGACTGGAGACAACATACAATCTACAAAAATGGTTACTGCCCAAATCATCCTGTTATCCAGTGGTTCTGGAAGGTAATATTGTTTACCCCATTTGGCTTCTTTGACTGTTCCTAAAAGTGAACGTTCCTGTATTGTTTTGCGGAGTCCGTTATGAAATCTTTTTTCTTCATGAAAACTGCTGAAGAATACGTCTGTATATGTATGTTGGAAATGACGGCTCATCAGAGACTATACCAGAAATAGACCCAAGATAGGAAGTCTGATCTTTGGTTTTATCTAAAGTGTCTTGCAATATTTGTGAAGTAAAATACTTCTATGAAAAACATATGTCCCCAGAAAAACTACTACAATGCTTTTTCCCATAATAGCTGTAGATTTTTCGAAGGGGTGTCTGTTTTTCTTAAAAATACCAGAACCTTACAGCTTCATGTATGCACTTCAAGCTTTGTTTCTGGGTTTCTTATATCATTTTCATGACCGTGGGTGGTATACATGAAGACTCTGTACTTGTATTAACCCAAAAGGTGATACGGTCCCAAAAGGCTTGACTCTGAGGTCCTGCTGTAGTGCAACACTGATCTGATTTTCTGTGCACCTCTGCAGTCTCTGGTCGTGAAGGCTTTTCTGTCATCTCTGTTTCTCTGCTTCCCCCCTCGGGCGTACTTACAGCTGCGCGCCCATTGTGCCCCGTCCCCCCGGCAGGTACAGGTAACTGATCGTACCTCCGGCAGGTGAACAGCCCTTGCAGCTCCCAGCTGCCGCCAGAGCAGGGTCTCCTCGTGGCCCAGTGACAGCGGGAGAAGAATGCTCCTTGTAGAGAAAACCTGGTCTGTGACCCGCATCACATCTTTCAGAGCTATACATCTATTACAGTCTAATATAGATAATTTACTCAGTTTTTGTTCTGTTTTTTAACACTGATATCTACAGCTGTGAAAGTGAAAAGACCATGACTCTGTGTTTGTCAATAGGCCGTTTTACTGATGGATGCTGAAAAGCGGATTCGATTACTGCAGTTTGTTACTGGGACGTCACGCGTGCCTATGAATGGATTTGCTGAACTTTATGGTGAGCTTCCTTTCAACTGCCCCCAGGTTATGCTCGCCTCGAGAGTGGCTGTGCAGACCGCTTCTGAACATGAACGAGACAACCAGGGCACGACTGAAATTCAATCATAGCCAACCTTTGACCCCCACATCAGAATTCTCCTTCTGGATGCCAAGAGCGCTGGAGAATTTGGGGGGGCACATTGAGAAGGAGTAAAGCTGTGTACATCATGGGTGTTACATAGACGCTCTCCTAGTTCCCACAGAAAAAATTTCAGCTGTCAACAGGAATAATACTCATGTCATAGGAAGAAGAGCAGAATGCATGTTTAACCAAGCACTTCAATTTTTCAATGTTAATGTCTGAGCTTGCTTCTTTTTCATTATACATACTCTACACAAAGGTAGTTCGATAAACTTGCAAGCTAACTGGACTTGGAAATAAATAACCACATTCCTGTTTCCTTTAATGTAGTTTTAATTAAGAGAGTTTGTACCAGGTATTTTGTACCAGTTGAAAAATCTAGCCTACAATTTATGCAAACATTTAATTTTTAAAATAGGTAGTCTCTATAGTGTCCAGCAGTTTATATTTCATATGATTTGCATTTTCAACCAGGTTCAAATGGTCCTCAGCTGTTTACAATAGAGCAATGGGGAAGTCCTGATAAACTGCCCAGAGCTCACACATGGTAAGTCATAAAAGCATAAAATTACATAGCTTTTCTGTATTGTTATACTGCCAAGAAAGGGGGCGACTGATGACTGTGCTTATCTCAAACATATTTTAGCTCTGGATCATACAGCTTGTTATAAAATGGGATACTCTGAAACCTACACGTGTGTCTCTGTGTGTGTCTTTAAAAGGCAAAGAACAGTTAGTGTTTATCTGCTGACGCACAGCTGCAGAACGTAACATGCAAAATTCCAGGAGGCAGCAGGGCTCAGCTTCAGTACCGTGCCATTGCTGCTTGCAGTTTCTAAGCTGTGAAAGGCTGCATTAATAGAGAAACAGGTGTAGGTGTTCTGCAATAAATGCAGGTAAATTAATCCAAAATAAACTCTTTCCATCGTAGCCTTTCTGATGAAGACTTTTTAATGCTATTCTATTGTATTCCAAGTAACCCTTTCAACTCAGGACTTTCTTCTAGTAATTGCTTGCATGTTAAAATGTGTATTAGAGAGAAGAGATAGCTTTTCCCCACTTTATTTTATACTACATTTGAAGAAATTGCTACCCGTACATACCAAATGTTAACTGTCACATTTGAAGCCATATAGTAGCCTGCAAATTGCTTTAAGCACTGGCCAATTAAACTGACACTCTGACAAAATAGAAGTAATTTGAATCCCTTCTGCTGGAAGACTTTTCCCCATATCAAATACGTAAGAATCCATTCATGTAAGGTACTTGTAACACAATCCAAACGAGAGCACATGAGGCACAGCACAGAAAGTGTACTGTATGCTTAAATCTTGTGCTGAATTTGGGAGTAGGATCCTCAGTGCCTGCTGGGGAAAGTCCCAAGATCTCACAGATTGTCATCACATCTATCTCGCTAGCAGAGCATCCCGTTCAGGTTGCAGTCCATTCCACCACAAACACCTAATGGTTTCCCAGTGCCTTTCACATTAGGAGAACTTCAGAATCCCCCCCCAGTTTCCTGGGAAACGACAAGCAAACATTACAGGTAAGGGTACGTAGTCAGAGAGGAGTCCAGTGACTCCTCCATGATACCACAGAGTAGTGGCAAAGGCAGGATGGGAGCAGCTATCCACTTCGTGGTTCCTGTCAAAACTGGGATAGGGAAAAACAGCAAGAGGAATTACATCTTACGCTTTAGTAATTTTTCTAGGAATGTTAAAACATAGGCTCTGTTCTTTTCTGTTCCTTCAGTCTGAAGGCTTTGAAAAATAAAGGATCAGCAATAAACTGTCCAAGAGAGACTGTTAAAAGGGTAACAGGAGTTTGACAGGGCATACTGGAAGGAAAAATAGTGCCTCGCCTTGTAAGGCTAATACTATCCATTGCCTTATTTTATATGTCTTAGAAATTTATCACCTCTTCCTCTTTCTTTCTGGAAAACTAAGAAATTGAAGGATATCCATGAGTGGAAAAGCAAGACTACCACTTGTACAAATAGGGGTTGATGCTTTTTTTTTCCCCCTTGGTGCTGTGATTCTACTTCAGATATCACCACGCCACAGGCAGCTTTTACTCTCACCATCATTTTCCCTTTCTCATTTTCCATGATTAAGTAAGTAAGTGGGTATAATGAACTACAGAAAGTCTGACGTAACAAAACATGGCCACAGAAAGCCATGCTACATAAAGGCCATAAATTGTTGGACAGTTCACTAAAAGTGTGAGGTCATAGTCCATCTGACTTTATTTAATCCTAATTTATAGAATTTGCAAATGTTGAAAGCATTCAATACAAACCTTTGTCTTGCTCTGTTGCATATCAAGAATATGGCTTTTTTAAGGTAACTTAAGTTGTGCTGTATTAATTTTTAGAACATTACAGAATAGTGATCTTCCCATAAAAATAATCATGCTATAGAATAAAAAGTTTTACTAAAAAAAAAAAAAAACCCACACCCACACAAAACCAAAACCACTACCAAAACAACAAAACCCAAAACACTTTCCAAAATCAACCCATCCTCTTTACATTTCAATTATCTGTTAGATTTTACAGGACCTTTTCAAGACCTTCTTTCGGATGTTTCTTCTCTTTTCCCCCAGAGGGTAGAGAGACTCTGTCCTATAAATTCAGAACATCTTTGCTGAGTCTTAGGATACCAGCCTTTTGACAGAGATGAAATGTTTTAAATCAACTAAATATGGTGGGGGGTTTCTGTTGGTTTTTTTTCCTTTCCTAAGTGGTTTTTAACAAATTCCCACTTTCAGCTCTGAAAAGAAAGGAGGCACACAGTTATTTCTGACAACTCACTTTGGTCCAGGCAGGGTTGGTTTCAGAAGCTACCTGCAGGGAACACAAGCATTAGTTAGGTTTGCAAAGGACACTGTGGAGATTGCCCCTGTTTGGACAGTAAGATATATCCTCTGTTAAGGCCCCCAAGTTATTTAACATTTTCTATTTCTTTAAAATTATGTATATTTTTCAGTGGATTATTAAATGATTCTTTTCCTTTTAAATTTCAGCTTTAATCGCCTAGACTTACCTCTTTATGAATCTTTTGAAGATTTGCGAGAGAAGCTACTTATGGCCGTTGAAAATGCTCAAGGATTTGAAGGAGTGGACTAAAACATCAACTTTTTTCCCCCCTTCAAGCAAGTTCTGCTTGCACTTTTGCATTTGCCTAAAGGACTCTGAGTGACTATGGCAGAACAGTTGCACAGCGTTGGTTCATGGAGCAAACCCTTCGACAGTGCAGTTGCCTGAATCCAGAAGTTTGAACTGTAATCTGTGGGTGGCTTTTCTGACGTTTCCACAGCAGATTACCAACTGCTTAACATGAACTCTGTTCAGCAGGACTTACTCTATTTATGTTGTGCCTCTTAGGCAAAGCCCTTAATAAATATTTTACATAATTTCTAATGACAATGAATGAAATTAATCATTTTACAGGTATAGTATTACAACTCATGTTTACTTTTTAATTGATTTAGACATTTTCAGATTTTATTTCATTACAATTAAATATCATATACTTGGAAAAATGAGCATTTTTCTTAATTTCATACCAGACGATGCCAGTGTCATTTTTTCAAAGCACATTTTTAGCCTTGTGTTCCCAAACCATTGAGAAAGTAGGAGAAAGCTATGCTGGAAATTTTCTCTACATGGGCTATATATCGAGAGCAACTCTTTTCATTGAGCACATAAATATTTTTCTGTATCCAGAAGTACGGACTGGATGTTGCATTTTTGTATAAATATTAGAATAGTTACAAGTCAAGGGAGAATCATAACATAGCATGCCAAATCTCATGTTCAATAAAGAAATTGCCTCATTATTGGTAATATTTACATGTACTATAAAGCATTTTGGGGTAGGGTTGGCATTAATCGTTTTAGGAAAATATGCTTAACCCTGTCATTATCTTTGTATAGTGATTCTTTTATTATCCTTTCCTCTTTACTGTTTGCAATGGAGGCATTTTGAATGAAACCTGGCACTATGTGATTTGGCACTATGGAAAACAGGTCTGTTTTGTCGCCTATTTGTATGCATTTGCTAATGATATCTAAATAACAATGGTTTTTGTTTGTTTCTAACTGCACCAACTCTAAAGGCACTTTATGTAACACATGGAAGTCATATCTGTTTTTTATCATAAACATTAACGTGATTATATTCCTTCTCACTGCACATGTCTTTCTGGTGCAATATCTATCAATTGTGAATTTGGCTGCTGCTGATGTATAAAAAAAAAAACCACAAACAGATGTAGAGCTGAGCCTGCAGACATGTTCCTCAGCAATTGTTTTTGTGATTTATTTTTTACTTAATCACAAAGATTTATTTAATATACACTGCTATCTAATCAATTTTGTTACCTATGACATGTTGCATGCTTAAACTATAATGTCTGAGTTGCATCTCTTGTGACAGATTAAAAGTGAAAGATTTGTATTTGATCTGCTGAAGTTAAATGGTTACAATACTCCTAGAGTAGGTTTGAGGATATGGCTTCAGCAATTTAGTGTTCCGTTTTGTAAGTTTTGCCCACATACTTCCCTATATATAGGCTTTATCTCCAAGAACCCATTTAATGCTTATGAAGCAAGATGACACCGCATGCCAAAACAAAATTTCACCTCATTGCCGATAGCTTTTTTAGCCCTGCCCTGACCCCCTCCCCAGCACCCGCGGGCAAGTACAGTCTGCGTCCGCGAATGAACAGCCATACTGCAGAGACTTGAGTGTGGTAACACTTCAGCTGAAACGGCTACTGGAAAGAAGCCTTAACGCTAACAACATTCGGCAAATGGTTATGTGCTAGTAAGAAGTTTGAAGCGCTAACAGATGCACGAGGAAGGTTATTCTATTATTGGAACACAGGTTAAGATTCATTTTCTATTAAGTAAGTTTCCTGACATTCCTTTCTGGCCTTTCACATTTGATGAGTGAGCTTGAACATGAAAAATGGACTGCATCTGAGTAGACAGTGAAACACTGTACCGATCGTTTAGCTGTGGGAAGGAGGTAAATCCAGGTATTTCCACTGACCTTCGGTATGTTAAGCACAGCTGGTTATAATGTGGACTCCCTTGAGGGAAGCATCATACTCCAGCATTTGTTTTCTTTCTGTCTTAACCTGGAGGATTTTTGGTGCGGTTGGAGGCTCTGTCCATGTCCAGTGCCATGTATCAGAACCTTAAGAACTCCCAAGACTTTTTTGGTTGTGAAACTGAAATGTAGTCTCACACACAGATGGAGGCTGTGACCTAGCAGTAGCACAGCTGAGGTAGAACCAGGAGTCAGGTTGTGTCTAAGAAGCTGCGTTTTGTCTTGTGATCTTGCTTTGGTCCCTTCCCTCCCCTCGCCCTCGACTTCTAAAACAGGTTTACTAATACTTACCTACATCAAAGCCCTTTCAGCTATCTAGAATTACATAGCGAGATCTGACTAAAAGGAAAGTTTTTGTTGGTTGGATTCTTTTTCTTTCTTTTTTTTTTTTTTTTAAAGAAAATTTAGAATTACTTAGCTTAAATCTTTTCAGATCTACTCCTACTCAGATCTACTTATCTCACAAACTGACAGATACTGCAAAGGTATTCACTAGGTATTAAAATAGTGAGGTGAATTCCACTGTATGAATTGTAACTAATGTGTATTTGGACTGTTGGGGTTTTCATTTTTAGGAAACAGTTTAATACTAAAAGAAAGTCCTTGACTCCCTCAAGGTGTGCCATTAGAGTGGCAGCTTTGAGTGCAGCACATGAAGAGACCCGACCCAGCTCAGGCAGCATTGACAATGAGGCCCAACCGGCAGTGCCCTGATAGACCTGTGCTGCTCATGCCGAAATCTGTGCTATTTTGCCTTTCTTGCAATTAATGCAAATAGCTAAATAAATGCTATTTGTGCTTCTTGTGCCCTAGACACAGCTCTCACCTGCATTGCAAACCTACCATCACTGCCAATGCAGTGCCATGCACAGCTATCCGAGTTTGCTTTTGTTTTGGAACCAGTTTGTTCAACACTCCATGAAGGTGTTACTCCTAACAGCCCAGGTGAACCTAACAGTAAGCTGGCTCGTTACTTTTTGTTACCTCAGTTAGCTACACTATTAGGACACAGCACTGTGTTTTGCCTTTACAGATGCACTACAGCTCCCTTCGCCATGGAAGTGAAACTCCTTTTCTTGTTGGGGTCTGTAAATCCATCCTCAAGAGTCACTGTTCACACATGAGCAAGACTACTTGTAGGATAAGCTGAGGGGAGTTGCTCAGCCCAGTCCCCTTGCTGCATAAAGCTTTTGTTATGGGTATCAGAAGCCTTCCTGTGAGCTAGAACTATCAGGCTTAACATCACGGTGGTAGCAGGGACATAAGCCCCTGCTACAATGTACTATACCCACGCAACTCATTTTATTATTGGTGGCTACGTAGATGGCTAAACCCTTGGGCAGATACGTCCCTCACAGCAGCTGAAAAGTTAAGATCTATGCTATGACAAAACCCAGGAAGTTACCTTCAGTTTTGCAATAAACTGTATGAGGCTAAGTAAGTGGCGTTAGCTGTGCAAAGTAGCAGCTGCAGAGGAGATGGATTTTCTTCTGCATGGCTCTTTGAACATAAAGCCATAATGCTGTTCCTGAGATCCTAAGCTGGATTCCAGACTTTCCATCTAGGAGTCCTTCTGGAGCTCCTGAAGCTACACTTGAAGGAAAAAAGGTAGCTAAATGTCATTTACTTAAAACATCTAAAACACAAAGCAACTAACACTCCAGTGAGACTTGTACCACAGTATCGTGCCTTTCTTAACACAGTACACAAAATGGCTCAATAGTATTTTAAAACGTTCTATTCAGCTATGTTTTTTTGGTTAATAAATAGTAATCATAAAGGTGGTAACTAAACCATGACTTGTTTGCTCTTAAGAAGCCTTAAGGCAACTAGTTTATAAAAATTTTAGTCACAATAGAGAATACAGGGTCTGCAACTGTCACCTCCTGTTCACATGAAGGCTTATAGATCTGTGCCTTGTAAGGTTGTAGTTAATGTACACCATACCGATCACATTAACTCCCCTTTGCATGCCTAGGTGCTGGAAACTGCTGCTTTTTATCTTTCAGTCCAAAACTACAAAAAAAAAAACCCACACACCACACAAACCAAAACTAAACAAACACAAAAACCCCATAACTCTGTTACCACAAGATTTATCTTATTTCTGTCTCTCTCATGCTGACCGCTCCCTCTGTGAATTCTGAGCGAAAGGAGCACGAGTGCCATGCTAGCGTGACATGTGCGCTGATAAATTAGCAGCGGATGCTGCCATAAGTACTAACCACGCAGCTAGCGCCTATCCTGCGCCCCGAGGGACGCACTGCAGTTGCGTGCTCAGCCCTGTCCGACTGGTAATCACAACTGCAGCGTTCAGCGGTAACCGGCTCCCAATGCTTTGGGTGAAGCATTTTACAGGACACTAAAGGGCCAGGAATTGTGAAAACTAGGGAGCCAGGGAGGGGAAGCTGGGTGGTTAGACTGCACTTCTAAGACTTAAAAATAAGTGATGATACCCACGTGATTGCAAGGGCTAATTATCATTATGTAGAGTAGAAAAAAAGGTAGATTACCAGATTGGACATCTTAAAATGTACATTAATTTTCTTATCTTTTTAATAACTTTTCCTTTTGTATGTAAAATTACAACACGAAGGAAAAAACCCTACAGTCTTCACCCATCTGTTACGATGTTGCACTAAGAAGTAACCCATACTTGAAACGCATGGGAAACGTATAGAACTGGAATCTAACCATATTAATGTTACATACCCATCAGGTCTGTCATAGTGCACCTAGAACCCTATCAGATACCATCACTGTCCGTGCAAACCGTATTTAGTCCTGCGTCTGTCGATGCACACTTCTGACGATCTGTTTGTCCACATTTATCCTCCACTTACACGTTGGGGTTTTTTTTCCTTTTCTGTGTTATTTTCACACAGACCTTGCTTTTTTCCTTAATTTTTTAATATGTAGCTGTAAAAATATACACAGTATGCATCCACATACAATAGTACGTGTTGCATTTTTATACTTTAATCCATTCTATTGGTTTAAAAAGGCTCAT